CCAACCACCACCTGACCCAATCAAAGACCCATTCTATTGGAGAGTGCCAACCCCTGATACTATGAACGATAGTCTGCTAAGCTTGCAGACAGGAGCCTGTGAGAGTTGTCCTCTGAGAAGCTTTACCCAGCATCACCTCAAAACAGATGCTGAGACTCACAGCCAAACATTGCTAGGGGAGTCTAGGGGAATAGTGGGAGGAAAGAGAAAAGGACCAGGAAGTGACAAGAGCTCCATAAGAAAAAACAAAACAAAACAAAACAACAACAACAACAACAAAAAAAAAAACAGAGCCAACAACTAACCAGGGCCCAGAGGGGTTTTGTGAGACTGAAGTATTAAACAAGGACCGTGCATGAAATGGCTCTAGGCAGCCTGCAAAGATGTAGCAGGTGGGAAGCTTAGGCTTCAAGTCAGTTTCACATTTTTTTCTTTTTATTAATTACAGTTTATTCCCTTTGTATACTCCCATAAACCCTTCTCTCCTCCCCTTCTAATCCCACTTTCCCTCCCCCTTCTACAAGCATGCCCCTCCCCAAGTCCACTGATAGGAGGTCCCCCTCTCCTTCCTTCTGATCCTAGTCTATCAGATCTCATCAGGAGTGGCTGCATTGTCATTTTCTGTGGCCTGGTAAGGCTGCTTCCCCCTCAGGGGAAGGTGATCAAAGGGCAGGCCAATCAGTTCATGTCAGAGACAGTCCCTGTCCCCGATACTATGGAACCCACTTGGACAAGGAACTGCCATGGGCTACATCTGTGCAGGGGTTCTAGGTTATATCCACACATGGTCCTTGGTTAGAATATCAGTCTCAGAAAAGAGCCCTGTGCCCAGAATTTTGGTTCTGTTGCTCTCCTTGTGGAGCTTCTGTCCCCTCCAGGTCTTTCTATCTCCCCCTTCTTTCATAAGATTCCCTGCATTCTGCCCAAAGTTTGGTTATGAGCCTCAGCATCTGATTTGATACACTGCTGGGTAGAATCTTTCAGAGGCCCTCTGTGGTAAGCTCCTGTCCTCTTTCTTGCTTTCTCCCTCTTCTGATTTCTGTCCTGTTTGCCTCTCTGAGGATTGTTCATCTTACCCATGGTCCTCCTTCTTGCTTAGTTTCTTTAGGTGTACAGATTTCAGTATGTTTATCCTTTATTATATGTCTAATATCCACTTATAAGTGAGTATATACCATGTGTATCTTTCTGATTCTGGGATGCCTCACTCAGGATGATCTTTTTATATCAATATCTTTGATACATTTGAATTGGTTTAGAGAAAGAGAGATCTAGTTTCATCTGTTCCATTTAAATTTACCACAACATTATTTTTTCAAAATGTCCATTTCTCTGTTAAATTTCTCATCTGTATCTTCCTTTGTCTTCCTAATTTATGAAAGCCTACCTATATTCTTTGATCTCATTAAAATGTTTTACATGCAGTTCTTTAAAAAATATTGTTCTGTGTATGAGTGCATTTATATGCACAGGCGTTGTGGCTTGCATGTAAAGGCCAATTTTCTCTTTCCAGCATAGGTTCCAGAGATTAAACTCAGGTTGTTAGGTTAATGTGACAAGACTGTCTACTTGTAGGCTTTTTCTAAGATTCTTTTTTGTTTCTAGAGACAGGTTTTCTGTAGACCTGGCTGTCCTGGAACTTGCTCTATAGACCAGGCTGGCCTCTGCCAGCCTGCCTCTGCCTCCCAAGTACTGGGATTAAAGGGGTGTGCCACCACCACCCAGCCTACAGTTACTTCATGTTAGCTTCCTATTGCATATGTGTTGTTTGCCTATATGCAAATATTTATAGTTGGTAGAGCAAAGATTTCTACCAGTTTTATCGGTTGCCTTCTTAGTTTTCCACTGAAGAGCTGAAAATATACTTCCTATATTTTTTGCTTGTTTGTTGTTGGTGGTGGTGTTTTGTTTTGTTGTTGTTTTGAGACAGGGTTTCTCCGTGCAGCCTTGGATGCCCTGGGCTTGCTTTGTAGACCAGGCTGGCCTCCAGCTCACAGAGATCCTCCTTCCTCTGCCTCCCCAAGTATTGGGAATACAGGTGTGCGCTGCTGTGCCTGGCAGAGCATTGCCGTCTTAGGCTTTCATTCTCACCAGAGATTATCTGCTGTTCCTTCCTTTGGCTATGAATAGTGTCTTCACAGTATTAGGCACTGTGGTAGCATAGAAGACTACTGCCTCTGTGTGCTTTACAAGAAAACACTTGCAGTGCAGGCGGGTACAGTATGAACAAGAATGTGTGTGGCGCACAGCGTGGCTAGTCCCACAGTGGAAGTGTTGGGCTCTGTTGATGCTATGGCAGCCACTGTCAAGGGCTTCAGGCACTGGCAGCGTGAAGCACTTACCACTTGTTATAACAGGAGAGGTCATGGCAGGAAGTCCAACAGCCCTCTGTGGCACTCATTCTTAGTTCTGCAACAGGTGTATTCAAAACAGGGGTAGTAGGTGGTAGTAGAAACTACACAGACAGGTGGTAACAGGGATCTCTTATTTCTCTCTGTACTTTATTGACAATGGCCTCCTAGAAGTGGGGCCATGGCCACTTGACTTTCTTTGGGCATTTAAGATTCCATAGCCTCCCAGAGTGGCTCCATCCTGGGGAGCAATTGGACAAACACAAGAACCTTTGGAGGCCGCTTGTCACTCAAAACATAATATCTAAACAGGGAGTTAGGATCCTGTCCACTGTACTGTCTACCAGGGGAGCCCTGAGGCCTGTCCCTAGAAGGGCTCTTCTAGCATGATGCAGAGGAAATGTTCGCATGTACAATCTCCTCTTAAGGCTTACAAGCATTCTACTTAAATGTTCCTATTTCTAACCTATCCTCACCATAGTTTTGATGGGTGCAGTATGCTGATTTTCCAGACAAGGTTCAATGACACGATCAGGCTAAATCAAAAGCCAGATGCTATCTCCAGCTTTATACTTCATAACACTCCAATCAAGAGACCTGGTGAGCCTGAAAAGCTGTCTCAGTGGCTTAGGGCATTTACAGTTCTTGCAGAGAACTGGGGTTCTCTTCCCAGCATCACATGGCAGCTTGCAGACACCTGTAACTTCAGTTCCAGGGAACGATGCCCTCTTCTGCCTTCTGCAGGCACCAGACACACCTCTGATGTCCATATAGAGGCAAAACATTTATACACATAAAATTGTTTTTAAAGCCACTGTGGCTGAGTATGGTGGCGTACACCTTTAAGCCCAGCTCTTGTGAGGATCTCTGAATTTGAGTTTGACCTACATAAGGAGTTCCAAGACAGCCAGGACTACATAGAGAAGACTCTATCTCAAACAAACAACATCACAGTAACACAAATTTCTCCTATGCAGTGAATTTGCCTATTAATCCTCAGTCCTGTGAATTTGACTTCATCCAGAAGGAAAAAGCGGTGAGATGCTCCTGTAAGTTATTCACCCAATACCTAAGCAGAATACTCATTTCAGCCTGCATTAAAAATCGAATAGAGAGTAAAGTGTCAAGTTGAATAGAGTAAGCATCGTTGAAGTAGCAGAAAGAGAAGCTGCCAAGAGCATATTCATTGCATGAATGTTAGGAAGAGTGGCTCCTTTAAATGAAAGGCCTAGCACAGACAACCAGAAAAATCTGCGAAATTTACCTGGTAAGAGGGGTATTTAGACAGGTGGCCTCAAAAGTATTAGAACAAAAGAACCTTTGTTCTGAAGCACGCTGCTAAAGCTGGACTAATGTAAATTAGTCAATTCCTTTCTAAATATCTTTTGTGTTCGCCCATTTTCTCCTGGAGGGAGGGAAGGGTGTAAGCAGAAGCTACCTGAACCTCTGGCCAGATGCAGGATAGAAGTCAGGAAGCAAAAGTTTCATGGAGCAGACTTGACCCTCATCTTAATTCTGGAGCAAGAAATCTGCATCCTGTTTCTGATGGAATACTCAGATATCAACACCAAGTTAAAGCTCTCGGGGACATGAGAGGTCTGAGTCTCTCTCATGATTGATTCTTAGAATTAACCGATGTGGGAACTGATATATTTTAAAGCAGCTTGAGGCCCAGGGATGTGGCATAAGGGCATACTAGTGTGAGGGCAGCTGTGTGAAGGTTTGTTTTTGTGAGTTCTGAGAGGGGCCAACAAAGTTTGATGAATGCTGGTTTCTATCATTTCCAGCTGTCTGTCCGATCAAGACCAAAAGGCTTGGCAGAAGGCCTGCCTCTAGCATCTTTCAGATTTGTTGGCAACCCCAACCTCTGAAGGTTTATGGGATCAGGGTGGACAGGGAAACAGCAGGAAGAGCTTTTGAAGTCTTTGATTGCTTCCTGACCTTGCAAAGGTGGACAGAGGGAGTTTGTAGATGTTCAGGCAGATGGACCATGAAATTTGTGTGCCCTGAGAATTCAAGCTTATTGGGCCAGAGCTTTCAAAAAATTATGGCTGTTTCATGGCGTGCTAGCCTAGGTCAGTCCCAGAAGCACCTGCCACTAAGCTGCAAGTTACCGGGCACCTAAGCTTGCAGCACCTGAGTTAAATTTGGTTCTTCCTCGGCCAGTGGGGAAAAAATGTGGAAGAGGGAACTCTATTATACACATGATCAGAACTCTTTGGGAGGCAAGGCAGGGGACATCTGTGACTTTGAGGCCAGCCTGGTCTACAGAGTGAGTTCTAGGACAGTCAAGGCTGTCTCAAACAAGATTGCCCTCCTGTGCCCTGTGAACTAGTGCAGTCAGGTTATATACTGGCATGACCGGCATGCAGAGTGCAGAGAATGGACGAAGCCAAAGACTGCTGTTTCAGGACAAGGACAGCCCAGGATCAGCAGCTGTGATTACCCCATTCCTGATTACCTATGTCTATATATACAAAGGAAACTGGCTGGAAGGTGAGCAGAAAAGGGGGTGATGAGCAGATATCCTGATGAGAAACAGGTTCGTGGTATTAGTGTAACCTGTGGATGAATTATCATAAAACAGAATGTGTCTCGTCTTACCTTATAGATGGATCAAACAGAAACTTGTGCAATGGGATACTTGAGTGCATTAAATAAATATAAATTTTATTAAAACTCACATAGCATTATCGGGAATGATATAATAAACAGCTTTCAAATAAACTGCATTCATAACATTACAATACTTACAGTATTTATAACCACCCTCAGATTTTATAAACAAACCCAACATCTCATGAATGAAACTAAGTTAAAAAAATAAAGCATAGAAAAATGCACACAGTTCATTATCTTAGTGTCAAACTGCGAAAACTTTCCCTAACAAGTTAACCACTACCTTGTAAAGTGAACTATACATCACTGTGCGTCAAGATGAAAAATTCATTCAAGTAATGTTGACACCACGCAGAAGCACTTTCAAGTATGGCTATGTAGTCAACCTGTTCCTATAGAAGCAAATCAGATTTGCTGTTCATTTGATCTAATTGACAGAGGTTGGATGTCATTTAATTGCCTTTCTTCCTACATGACCCATCCTCAAACCACACTCCCTGCTCCTGTTGGCCAGCAGTTTGACAAATTACAGTGGGTGACATGTAAAGCAAACATTCCTTAGAGATGGCCGGCTCAAACTTGTCACGCACACCTGCTGGAAGCTGATGTTGTAGACTCAACATCATGGTGTGAAAGACCATTAAACCTGTGGTTCAGTGTGCAAAGTAGAGATTCCGAAAGCTTTGGTGACAATGTGACCAATACAGGTCTCCACTGATCAAAGCTATTTGAGAAGCTAGTAAGCAACACTGTATTTAGTCCACAATGTAACAGTCCGACTGCACAGCTCACGGCCAGATTCTAGGATTGCTGAGAGACACTTACGGGGTATGAACCTGTAGTCATTACTGGATCAAAAAACCTTTGAGGACTTGGCCAACAGCCATGTGATGATCTCTTATTTACAATTTTCCCTTTATCAGCTCAGTGCATTCTATTGAAAACTTTACTTTGTTGAAAAACTCTCCAAACTTTAATTTTTAAGTCAACAAATTTATAAAATTAGTTTTAGTTATCAGCACATGTACAAGCAAAATAGGAGGGATTCAAAATAAAGAGTCCAATCCCCGAAAAAGAATATATTAACTGACAACTTACATAAACACAGCTGACGTGTTGGCATAAGGAGAACGAGCTGAAATATCCCTGAATTTTTAGAACAAAAGTTTGAAATTCAAGTTATACTTGCTAAGAAATCAAGTATTAAAAAAAGTATGCTTTAATAAAAAAAATTTTAAAAATGGTGGTATACAATGCTATAAGCTTTCACCCTAGTTTAATATCCCATTGCCAAACTAGTGTTGAGGTATATGACAAGTAGGAACATCGCTCAAACTTAATGAATTCTTAGCTCACATTAAGATTCATGTGTAGCAGTCTGGGTAGCACCATCGTGATGTGAATTTTACTTCAATTTCATATATATATTATATATACACATGTATATATTTAATTTTTACAGTACTAAAATACTAAAGCATTGCATTAAAAAAGTTTGTTTTACAATTTAATTTACTATACAACTCTTTCACCTTTTTATACAAATTAATGATTTTTTAAATCACCACAGCAAACCAGCTGCCTATTTTGCTTAGGTTTTTTTTTGTTTTGTTTTGTCTTGTAACCAACAGATTCACACGGACTTCACCCTGCCTACTCATCTTATACGGGCATCAGTCCACCATCTTCCTGTAAGAACACTTAAGCTTAGAAATGGCATCACAAAGCACGTGATTAACACAAAGGTAGCCTGCTGTCCTGAAGGACTACGGGACAGCAAGGGTGTACTCAGACAAGCTTTGCTGAATCTGTAGCATGCAGCTAGTTATTATCTGCAGTTTAAGCTGTAGACAAAGGGGCAATGAGCTTGTCATACCGTCTTTTATAGTATATCATGTAAGATGAGCACCAGAAAACATGATTTGTGGACTAACACAGGCCGTCAACAATGACATTGCTCAAATGTTTTAAAAGCTTTCCTTAAAAATAAAATTCTAAATGAAAGTAAACTTTTTTTTTTAAGTCTCAGTACCTCAGCATTGTTCAAGTTGCCAAAGCTTACTTAGGTAGGCAAAGTGCTTCTAACACCACTTAAAATTTCAGCATACATGTATTTGCATGTATGAAGGCGTGTATATGTACAGTGTGTTTATAGTCCTACAAGGACATCACCAGATGAGCACAATCCAGAGGCCTTTAACATTGTCCACATTTAAAAACTAAGCTGAATAAGAACATGTGAATGAAAGGTGCCCCGTTACTCAAGGGCACTATTCTGGTAGCATGAAAAAGGCATTGATTTTCCAGCTATTAAAGACACCATTTTTGTAGCACCATTTAATGTAACACCCAAAACAATTCAGTGTTTTGCCATTATTCACTTAAGCTTTCTGTAGCTACTTTGATAAATAAGTTAAGATTACAGTAAAAACTGCATGTTAAAAAGCCACAATTCCAGTATTTCAGTACAGCACACGTCAGCACCGGATTCCCGCAACTGCGCCTCTGCAGCACTGCGCCATGACCACACAGACCTGGCGTTGTTAGGCGTGGTCACGTGCGGGGTGGTGAGGGACATCTCCCACACATGACCTCAGCCAACAGTGGTTTTGAAAACAGCACTTTCCTCCTGCCTTCCCTTTGCATAGGATGCTTTGGCCTTTCTCCTGAATGCTACCAGTGACCATGTGGGAAGTCAGTAGAGATTAAGTACAATGGTAAGATTAATTATTTTGCTGGTGAGCTGACATCCCCTCCCGCCCCAAGCACACACACATTTCATTTGTTGTGGCTGCTGAAACCTGTCTCGGCTGCCCATGCCATGAAAGCTACACTCAGACAAGACAGGTTGTTCTTGATGGTCTGGCATAGCAAACAGCATCATACGTATCTGTTGTAAGGCCCTGTGACCTGAGTGAAGGCATATGGAGATGTAGTCACCGTGGAGTCTGTGGTCACAGACCCTGTGTTCTCAGCAAGAGAATGGATGAAACGCAGGTAACTGGGCTCAGGAGGTTCCTGTTGCTCTGTGGGCTCGCGTTTTACTCTTTTGCTGTGGCTTTTCTGAGACTCATGATCTGGTCCACACTCTTCCTCTTTCTCCCGGGCCCTCCCAGCCATTTTGGCTTCCCAGAGAGCCAAGCCATGTTTTGGCTCATTCAAGTTCTTATGCTGGTAAAATACAAGTGAGATCCTGATCGGATGAGCCCGGTCGGGAATATTTACTCGGGTTGTGGCATGAAGCTCGCGCTTTGCACACTCAATGAGGATTGAGCCGTGAGTAGGAACCACAGCCACCCCACCGATGTTACAATCCAGAAAGCTGTGCTCACTGTCTGACCAGACCTCCTCTTCTTCCTTCACAGCAGAAGCCACGCCCTGTCCCACCACCCCAGTCGGGTTGTGTAAAGGACCCTGGCCAGAATCGCTTCTGTCGTGATTAGGCCCAGGAAGCACCCTTGATAGCTCATTATCTGCATGGGAGGCCGTGCTGTCGTTCTCCTTGTTGTGGAAGGTGTTGTGGTTGGAGCTGCTCGCTGTGCCTGGAGCTGCTGCGGCATAGCTGTGTGTCCTGTGAAAGGGTGGCTGGTGCTCGCTGCTCTCAGAGTCTAGGTTGGGGTTGCCCAGACCGTATGGTAATCTGGAGGCGGCTCCCATAAAATGGCCATCCACCTCAGGGGTGGTAGGATAAGGAGAAAACGCTGCTGGGTGGGGTACATTTGGGTTCACGGTACAGTTGCTGAAGGCATCTCTCTGCACATTTTGGCTACCATAACTTATATACTTAGAGGTGCTGTCTCCAAACCTCTGTTGGTAAAGTGTGTGGATGGGTGGTAGGTTCAGGTTACTGAGATGCTCCTGGTTTGGACATCTATACAGATCCCTGGGCTGGGACTGCACAGAGTAAGAACCTAAGAAAGGGGAGCAGCTGTCCACCGACACATTCCCATTGCACTGATAAGCTGCATACTGGTTATTCTGATTGAAAAGCCCAGGGTAGGCGTTCATGGCATTAGAAGGACTCAAATATGAACCTGTAGCTTGAGATGAAGTGGGATAAAAGTTCACGTGGTTGGTATCTCCGTAAACACCTGAAGTGTGTGAAGAGCTTGGGTAAGGACTAAGTGGGCTGGGCCTTGTGTATGGATTGGTGGATCCCGAAGAGTAAGAGCCAATGGACTGACACTGAGCAGTGCCGGGCAAGATATGCTGTGGCTGGGTCTGCTGTGGCCTCTGCACCTGCTGGAGGTGCCTCTGCAGTGGCTGCGGCTGCTGTATGACAGATCCTGAGAGCCTCAATTGCTCTGCGGGAGAGGGGAGGAGAGAGCAGGAGCAAATGCATTATTTCAAGAACATGAGGGGAGATGATGGCACAGGCAATCCTTCCCACTCCTCAGCAAGGAAAGCCAGGCCTCGAGCATTGTAAAGCAGCTTTCGTGTTTAAAGCAAGATGTGAGCTTCTTTCATCACCTTGCCCAACTCTACCTATCTCCCCATCCTTCCTCAACATAGCCTATGACCTCATCTTCTAGTCCAGTGTAGTCTGATAAATCAATGACTGTACTGTGTAAAATGCCCCCTCCCCCCCATCGTTGTTCCTAAAAGGAAGGGAACCTGTTTTATTTCACTTTACTTCTCACCTGCCAGAAGGTGGCGTGACTTGCTGAGAGTGGCATTTCTCTATACCCAAAGAGGATCCTACACATCTGGTCAGTCTACTTCCCAGGAAGGAAATTTACACAACTGTTATGTAGAGAACACCTTGAGATCGTGAGGAAATGTTCCGCTACCTTAGTGACAGTTATAGGAATAGTTTACCATCACAGAAAGAAACCAGTAAGAATTTTTCACCTCTCAAAACAAAGGTGGCTGGAAAGTAAGTTGGCAAATTTTAAAGAATGTTCTTGTAGTGGGGGACAGACCAATCAATATACTTTCAAAAAAACAAACAAACAAACAAAACAACAACAAAACAAAACAAAATGGAATTTTTCTTTAGTAGCTCTAATTATAGACAGGCAAGGGTTCGGGTGCCCAATGTTCCATTAGGACTATGACAGTCAGAAGTTCTTTTGATGAGTGTAGAGCCTTACCTAAACCAGATCCAACCTCATCTTGCAAATTGCATTTTCAGACTTTTTTCAGTATAGTGCTGTTTTAATGATCTAGGCTTAGTGACTTAGTTTTCTCTACTCCCTTCCACTGCCTTGAGTGTTTTGCATTCTGAGAGGGTTTACGTGCATGGTTTAGTCTTTAACAAGGTCTTGTTCCACTGTGTCTGTCCACGGGATCTGTCCGTAAACCTGGTGAAGGGTTACTGCGGGATTTACGTTGCTTTGGCCTAAATTGCCTGTGTAAAAGGCTTGTTACTTGTTTCATATAGAACAACTCCAATGTCTCTAGTCTGAGATGGACAGGGTGCCACCTCTCAGACAAAGTCAGGGCAGCCTGAACCTGGCTGCTTGAGGGAAGACTGTGGTAGAGCACCTTAGCCACCCCGACACCCCAGCACATAAGCCCTCAAGGGTCACAAGAAATTAGTGTACCTGTCTGTTTTACATGGCTTGTGTTTTCCATCTGTTTGGTGCGTGAGGAAGACTTTTCCTTGTCGTTCTTATTCTCCAGGGAAGAAAGCTTTTCAGCTGCAGCTTTTTTGGCCTCCAGTTTCCTTTGTCGGCAACTCTTAGCTGGCTCAGGCAACATCCTAACTCTCCTCCGGAAAGAGTTAAGAACTTGAATGGAGCCCTTCCGTATCTTCTCCTCCTGACCTTCTGTACTGCCAAACTCATCCACAGGAGAGATTTTGTACAGAGGCAACACGTGAAGCTGCTCGTCCTGAGGCTGTCCTCCAATCTCCCGATTGTCTTCTCGAGTGAGGGTGCATACCTGGTGGGAGAGGAGACGCTCAGTTGCGGGCCAGGTGTGTGCAGGGCCTCTTCCTCCGTACCCAGTGTTGGATCAATGACATGCAGTGTCAAAACCAGACGTGCCTGTTATTGCTGACACAGAAGCCAGAGAAAACCACTGTGGAAGTGGCTGCTTTCATGCACTTCTAGAAGTCAGGGAAACCAGACTTCTTCCAAATGAAAGAAGGCACTTTCCTGCTCTCCACATTTTTCCACACATGGCAGGTGGCATTCCTTTAAAAAGCTACGCTTAGTGTCTGCTGTGTAACCACCGCATGTAGTGGGACAGGGAAGGGTGATGACATGACACAGTTCCTTCAGATGCCTTCAGATGCCTCACTGTTTAAAGAGCACGCTATGCTCAAGGAACTCGACAAGGCGCCAGCTGGCTATGTCTCCTGCGTGGCTTCATGTGTCCTTTTTTGCTTTAATAATTTACAGGTATTTTTCTTGTTAGTCATGATAGTCTTGATTTTGATTAAGACTGTCTTATTTTATCCATTTATCATAAATGTTAAAGGACAAAAAAAAAATGAATGGGGGACACCCCCTCGAAAAGTGTGGCCATTCTAAATGACACAAGTGAAGGGTGTTTCCCAAATTCAGGTCTCAGTGTTTCTCTGCATATTTAATCACTGTTTAGTTCTCATCTAGAGTGCCTTTCCATCTTAGCCTGTAGCACCTGTGACCAGAGGCAGGCTCTTTCACTTCCCACTCCCTTAAGAGAATGAGGACCTGAGTACATCTTCCAGAATATAAATGGCCAGGGCTGCCAAGGTTATGAGTAGTTTATTTTGCAGGATCTAACTTCAAACTGGCTGATAGCTAATCTAACTCAGAACTGTGTTTATAACCAAGAATGTTATCCATTGTGCCCAATGTAACATGTAGGCACGATTGTGCATGAGTCACAAACATTTCCATATTATTTTTGGGGAAAGGGCATGTCAGAGACTAAAATACACTGATTTTGCTAGATGGCAAGCCTCAGAGATCTCCATCTGCCCTCTATGAAGGAATAAGATGTCCTCTACAGCACTGGGTATACCATAGGTGCAGGGATCCAATTCAGTTCAGGCCTGAGGGTAAGTATATTCCTGGCTGAGCAGGTTCCCTAACTTAATTTTTAAAGACTGATTTCTGTTTTTAGTTCTATGTATGGATGTATTTATATCTACATGGTTTCTGCAGTCATGTTTACTCATGAGTGTACAAGTCACCTAGACCTGGCGTTATAGTGGTTGAACCACGGCTACTGGGAATGGAAGGCAGGTCCTCTACAAAAGCAGGGCACACAACCAGCCAGGTCACGTTAGAACACAATTCATCCATGCAAACACATGATCTGGTGACCCCAGCTTGAAACACATCTTCTGTGCCAAGAACCATACAGTTGCGCTTTACACTGGCAAAAGCTATTAGGACCCTGGCGGCCACTCACCACTGTGCTGCCATTCTGCATGTTGTGCTGGTCTCTGTGGGCATGGGCACAGAAGTCCATACATGCAGTGACCCCTGAGAATGGTCGGCCTTCCTTCAGACCCAAACGGCACTCTAGAGCGCGGTGTTCATATTCAACCTGAGAAATACATGCATATGAGTGGGAAAGTCCTTCAGAATAAGGAGACTGTTTTGCACTTTATATCTAGAATATAATGGAATGACAAGAATAGAGCACACGTATGGACATTGCAAAGTTTCATCTGACAATATTGCTGAGGAAAAATGTATTTGTGTGATGCCAGGCCAAACCCAATGTCAGAAGACTCCGCTTACCTGGCCTTGCTCTAACACTACCACTAACTGACCTACAGTGCCAGCTCCCAAATCCTTTCCTTTCCTCCCTCTAAACCATCTCATACAACTCTTTGTATGGCCTCTATTTTAAAAACCTATTTGTTACTGATACACAAACATATAGGCATACAATTGCTAGTACAGCATAAATTTCTAAAGATAACTTGCCCGTGAACATATGAAGTAGACCTTTAACTTCTCCCAGGACTTCCCCTGTCATGCCTCCCTCCCACAGGGCTCCTAGCACAGAACTCCCTGCTCACTATCTGAGACAGAAGGCGTGACTCCCAGCACCTCGGCAGCAGGCTGCCAGCTGTGGTGGCCTCCCAGGTTCATGCACACAAAAAGTGTGCCCCACAGGGCGCCCCCATCCAGCTGCTATACTGGCCTCCCAGTCCCTCGGTGGAGGGCAGGCTGATGTATGGGCCACCCAGGTCAGCCAGCAGCTGTTCAGGCTCCCCAGGGCCTCCCAGCAGGCATCTGTACTGGCCTCCCAGTTCTGTGGCTGTGGCTGGACTCCCAGCAGGCCACTATACCAGCCTCCCAGTTCTGTGCCTGCAGCACCGCTGAGCTGACAGATCTCCTACACTTTCATTTGTTCAAATCTAGGAGTAGAGAGCAGGGGGAACCCCTGTGCTTTCCAAATAGGCCTGCTAGAGAGGGAGAGTGCCTTCAAGTGAGTGCATGCAGAGCCCCAGATCCAGGGTCGCTGTACCTAGCAACCAGACTTCGGATCCCTCCCACCACAGATCCACTGTGGGTAACACAGGGATTCTTAGGACAGTGTTCTCAACATTGAAGCCCCTGTTCGATGGGTCTACCAGTGGAGTCCAGGGAAACAATTCCTGGATCCCAGACAGATCAGAATACCAGAATACAGTAGGACAGGCCTGTAGGCCACTGAGGTACAGGGAACCTGCACATAAGCATTCTGCAGGCACCTTGCCCTCCTGTGCATGTGCCCCACCTCGATGCCCACATTCTAGCCACCTACACTCTAATGCCATGCCCACGTTTGATGACCTACACCTGCAGCAGGTTGCTGTACCTGCACCCACTATCATGTCCTTTCTCCCTTAGGTTCAGCCAAAACACCAATGCAGACTCTCAAACCAGGGAACCTTTCTAATCTTCCTGAAGATGAAAGATGGACCCAGTCTGATGTACAGACTCCAGGAACAAACAGGGAAGGATGTGTGCCAGAGGTCAACATAAGAACACATCCAACAAAAATCAGGACACTGAGGCTTCACCAGCAATCCTCAATTTATTGAAAACACAGGAAAATTTTAAAGCTATGCTTATCCAGTTATTAGAGGCACAAAGAGGAAATGAACAAATCTCTCAAAGAAATAACCACTCAAATGGAGGCAAATGAAGAAGTGAACGAAGCACTCAAAGAGATACAGGCAAATATAGCCAAATGGAGGCACAAGTAGAGGCACAATTCATGGCATAAAGAGAGGAAAAAAACCCAAAGATCATAGAAACAGGAATCCACATTCAAACAGATGAAAGAAATGGTGCAAGGCATAAAAACAGTATTAGAATTGATAAAGAAAAGATCAGGAACCAAAAAGGTAAGCATCACCAATAGAATACAAGAGATGGAGGAGAGAATCTCTGGTGCTGAAAAGATACAGTTGCAGAAATTGCTACTTCTTTCAAAGAAAAAGTAAAATCAAAGTCCCAAACACAAAACATCCAAGATCAAGGATGCCATGAAAAGGTGAAATCTAAGAATAGGAATTGCAACCAGGCTCCAAGGTCCAGAAAATATAAGAAAATCATAAGAAAGAGATGTCCATAAACATACAAGAAGCCTACAGAACACCAATTAGACTAGACCAGAAAAATTCCTCATGTCACATCATAGTGCCTTCATAAGAAAATTTGAGACATCTCATACAAGCAACTTAATGGCTCACCTGAAAGCTCAAAAAAAAAAAAAAAAGCAGACACACCCAAGAGGAGTAGATTGCTGGAAATAATCAAACTTCAGGCTGAAATGAATAAATTAGAAACAATTCAAAGAATCAATGAAACTAAGAGCTGGTTCTTTGAGAAAAATCAATAAGATAGACAAACCCCCAGCCAAACTAAAGGGCAGGGAAACTATCCAAATTAGCAAAAGCAGAAATGCAAAAGGGGACATAACAGACACTGAGGAGATCCAAACAATCATTAGATGAACAATTTTCTTGATAGATTTCATTGACCAAAATTAAATCAAGATCAGGTAAATAGATTGAATAGTCTTCTATCCCCCAGGAAACAGAAGCAGTCAAAGTCTACCTTCCAAAAAAAAAAGCCCAGGGTCAGATGGTTTTAGCGTAGAATTTTACCAGACCTTCAAAGAAGTGCTAACAATTCCAATTCTCTTCAAACTATTCCACAAACTGTAAACAGAATGAATATTACCAAACTCATTCCATGAAGCCACAGTCACCTTGATACCTAAACCACACAAAGACCCAACCAAAAAAAAGAGAACTTCAGAATCTCTTATGAACATTGATGCAAAAATACTGGCAAACCGAATCAAAAACCACATAAAAGATATCATCCACCATGACCAAGGAGGCTTCAGCCCAGGTATGCAGAAGTGGTTCACTATATAGGGAAATCCATCAATGTAATCAAGGAAAAAAAAAAAAAAACAAATGTGATCTTAGATGCCAAAAAAACACTGACAAATTCCAACACCCATTCATGTTTAAAGTCTTGGAGAGATAAGGGATACAAGGCAAATACCTAAACATAGTAAAGACAATAGACAGCAATCCTATATTGCCAACATCAAACTAAACAGAGAAAATTAAATCGGTCCCACTGAAATCAGGGACAAAGCAAGGCCATCCACTCTCTCTGTATGTCTTCAAAAGAGTTCCTGAAATACTAGCTAGAGCAATAAGACAGCTAAAGCAGATCAAGGGGATACAAATCAGAAAAGTCAAAGTATCACTATTTGCAGATGATACATGAGTTGACCAAAATTCAACCAGAACTCTTTCAGCTGATAAACACCTTCAGCAAAGTGGCAGGATACAATATTAACTAAAAAAAAAAAAATCCTGAATACAAAAGACCAAAGGACAGAGAAAGAAATTAGGAAAAACACCCTTCACAATAGCCACTAATAACATAAAGTACCTTGGGGTGACTTTAACCAAGCAGGTCAAAGACCTGTTTGAAAAAAACTTAAAGTCTCTAAAGAATGAAATTGAAGATATCAGAAGATGGAAAGATCTCCTGTGCTATGGATTGGTAGGATTAACATTGTGAAAATGACCATCCTGCCAAACTCAGAATGCAATTCCCATCAAAATGCCAACTCAGAACTTGGAAGAACAATCTCAACTTCATATGGAAAAACAAAAAAACCCAGAATTGCCAAAACAATCCTGTACAACAGATCATCTGGAGGTATCTCCATCCCTGATCTCAAGCTGTACTACAGAGACCAATAGTAATTAAAACTGCATGGTACTGGCATAGAAACAGAATGGTGGATCAATGGAACCGAATGGAAGACCCAAAAATAAACCCACACAGTTATGGACACTTGATTTTTGACAAAGATAAAAAAAGATAGCATCTTCAATAAATGGTTCTGGTCTAACTGGATGTCTACATGTAGAAAAATGCAAATAGATCCATGCTTATCAACCTACACAAAACTAAAGTCCAAGTGGATCAAAGACCTCAACATAAAACCAGACACACTAAATCCGTTAGAAGAGAAACTGGGGAAGAGCCTTGACCTCATTGGCATAGAAGACAACTTCCTGAAAAGGACACCAACAGCACAGGCTCTAAGATCAATAGATGGGAACTCTTGAATTTGAAAAGCTTCTGTAAGGCAAAGGCCACTGTCGTCAGAACAAAACGAGAGCCTACAGACTAGGAAAGGATCTTCACCAACCCTATATCTGACAGAGAGCTAATATCCAAAATATATAAAATCGGTACACCTAAAGAAGCTAACTAAGCATAAAGGACCCTGGGTAAAATGCTCAATCCACATTCAGAAAGGCAAACAGGACAGGTAGACTTTGGAAGAGGGAGAAAACAGGGAACAGGACAAGAGCCACGCAGGGCCTCTGAATGACTCTACCCAACAGGGTATTAAAAAAGATGCTGAGATTCATAACCAAACTTGGGCAGAGTACATGGAATCTTATGAAAGGGAGGTAGAAAGACCTGGAGGGGACAGAAGCTCCACAGGAGAGCAACAGAACCATAAAATCTGGGCACAGAGGTCTTTTCTGAGACTGATACTCCAACCAAGGGCCAGTCATGGATATAACCTAGATAACCTAGAACACCTGCTCAGATGTAGCCCATGGAAGCTCAGTATCCAAGTGGGTTCCCTAATAAGTGGAACAAAGCCTGTCTCTGACATGAATGCTGGCTCTTTGATCACCTTCCCCTGTGGGGGGAGCAGCCTTGCCTGGACAGAGGAAGACAATGCAGCCAGTCTGACCTAATAAGCTAGGGTCAGATGGAAGGGGAGGACCTCCCCTATCAGTGGACTTGGGGAAGGGCATGGGAAGAGATGAGGAAGGGTGGGTAGGATTGGGAGGGATGATGGAGGGGCTACAGCTGGCATACAAAGTGAATAAACTGTACTTAATATAAAAATTAAATCTATATAGTCAAGAAAATAGCCTCACATGAGATGGAAGATACTCTATAGATGGCACTCCTGATTATAGTTACTATCTAAAATGTCTTAAGTTTCCTCACCTTTAGTGCATACTTGTGGGTCCCTACAGGCTAATCCCACATTCTTATTTTGCACCAGTCAAGAGCAGCTTTTTCTGTACGCCTACTCCTGCCCTAGCTTTTTAAAAAAATATAACAGTTGCTCTGCTTTATTGTTTCTTTTTAATTTATTTCGAATACATCGAAGTCACTCACACTGGTCTCTTATTGTCTGGTTGTAAGCAGCTTTTGCTCGAGTTCACTGGATGATTGTTGTGGATGTCAATCTTGAGATGGGTCTCATAACCTGGCTAACAGGTAACCTAGTGCTGGTAAAAATCAGCCATCTTTGTGGTTTTCCTTTCTTCATAGAGACAGAGTCTAACAATCATCTGATACTTGGACACTCGCTACTACTATATAGTAGTCCAATATACTATATATATATACTATATAGATAGTCCAATATAGTCAGGGTCAAAATCTTCACATGGAAATAAATTAGTAGATAAAGCATCAGAATAACTGAAAACCAGAAGTATGCGTTTTTAATGGCATACTTCATACACTAGAAACAATTCAAGGAGCTTAGAAAACATAATTATGGAAAGGGGTGCTGCAGACAGCTCAACAGTTTACTGCCTTTACTGTCTTTTGCAGAGAGCCTGCACCCACATGGTGGGAACACCAGTTTCAGTGGGCCCAAGGCCCAGAACATGTAGTAAGTACACTTATATACATGTAGAGAGTCCCTCATTTACATAAAACAGAAAATTGAGCAAAGGGTAAAAAAGAATGGCTCCTTCAAATAGTTCTGGACTAGATAGGTCACAATAACGGAGTCTGATTCAACAATAGTTGCTTAAACTTACCTGATTATTGTATGCATCCGGTGCAAGGTTCTTGTATATTGGAGCAATAAGAGTAGCCAGGTTTTGCAAATGAGATTCTAGTTTCTCTTCCTGTGCAAAAATCTTCCAGTTAAACTCAAGTTAAACATCGATATATAAATGCTGACATAAAATTAATGTTTTTCTTACTATAAGAAATATTAAAATCTTCCTAAAATAACTACTTCTAATATGAATTTTTGTGTGCTATTTTGAGTTTGGAGTTGGATGGACTGAATTTCTAGTTGCATGCAGACAACTGACATTTTGTAAATACAAGTCTATGTTGGGGTGGAGTGTGGTGAATAAGCCAGATGATTTACAGGAACGTTTCCCTCTCATTAAATGTTCATTAAGGGAGACGAAATCTGTCTACAGAATCTAACTAAATCTGTCTACAGAAGTTTAAATAACCTCTCTATAGAACTAAATGTTTCTGGACTGGCTACATTCAAGACTGAATAGTTTACTTTAAAGGGCAATACCCTTTCAACATTCTCAACACTCCAAGCTCACAAAAGTTTTTCAGATAAACTTCTAAAGTGTCATACTTGTGAGTTTATAAATTCCCACTGACATTCTTGAAGAGACAATCTTGGTCCTTATCTTGGATGGCTCACAACCACCTGTAACTCAGTTCCTGGAGCTATGGAACCAAGGCCATGAATGAATGCTGTTTATTGACTTGCTCCCCAAGGCTTGATCTGGCCACTTATAGCACCCTGGCCCGCAAGCCCAGTGCCATCTATATAAATCTTTTATATCACCTATATATCAATCATATATATAGATAGATTAAAACTAGGTTATTTATTAGGAAACAAACCAACCTCTTTTGGGTCATCTCCAAGTAGCTTAAATTTCCTTGGGTTCTTGCTTCTGGCAAACTTACATCCATTATAATACATGCTCCAAGAACAACCAAATGAAAACGAGGCACCAGAGGTGTGTGGATTCAAGCCCTGACAAGCACAGGTTCTCCTGAGATCAAAGGACAAAGTTCAAGATTATAGATATTACTCTTTCTTCTATCAGGAGCAAAGTCATCTATTGGTACCTTATTGTGTGACAAACCACTTTATCTTGTGTTACTGCGCCATTTGCATTTCTTAAAGAGAGAGGGATTATTGCTACCTTTTACAATTTTGACTGAGTATACCTTAAATTCACGTAGTTGTGTGATGTGTGCCAAAGATAATGGTTTTTAATGCATTGGTCATTTCAATTTCCTTACTCATTTTTATTATGTAATAAACTTTTTGTAATCATTGTAATATGTAATCATTTGGTGCATTGTTTTTAAATGTGATGTTGTATATATACACACATTTTGATAAGGAAAGGGAAGGAAAATGACCAAGCTCGTTTTATAAATTACTATGACACCTAAAGTTTTCTTTTATATATATTAATCACAGGTTATTTACTTTGTATCCCAGCCATAGCCCCCTCCCTCATTCCCTCTCAATTCCACCCTCCCTTTCCAAGTCCACTAACAGCAGAGGACCTCCTCCCCCTCCATCTGACCCTAGCTTAGCAAGTTTCTTCAGGCCTGGCTGCAATGTCCTCTTCTTTGGCCTAGCCAGGCTGCTTTTCTCTCGTAGACACCTAAAGTTTAAAGACAAAACTATTGACCTAACTTCCCAGATGAACACATATGGACAAATTCTTCCAAATCATATTTAAAAACAGATTAAGACCACACATCCTGGTAGTGTTGGAGTCATTCCAGTAAATCAACATTGGCTCACACAGACTAAGTAGAGAAATTAATAAATCACATAATGTTCTCAGACTTTAATAAAAAGCCTTTAGCAAAGTTCAACATTCCTTCAGGAACTAGAAATGGAATCTATAACAAAGCTAGTCAACATATATATTTTTTAATTATTTATTATGTATACAGTGTTCTGCCTGCATGTGTGCCTGTGTATCAGGAGAGGGCACCAGATCTCATTACAGATGGTTTGTGAGCCACCATGTGGTTGCTGGGAATTGAACTCAAAACCAGTGTACTTAACCTCTGAACCATCCCTCCAGCTCTAGTCAACTTATCTTTAGTGACTATCTCCTCTCAAGTCAAAAATGAGGCAGGATTGTTCATTCTCACTGCCACTTTTAAATTCAAGGCTAACAGTCTTTTTAGCAAAGTACAGAATTAAATAAAGAACAGCATACAGAAGAAATCAGATTTTGCAAATATAATGTACAGGTTTATTTCCCAGCACTCACATTGGGTAGCTCACAACTGCCTACAGGTCTGGATGGGCATCTAACATCTTTGGCCTCAGAAATAGAGGAGCCAGAAATAAACCAAAGGTATGCCAGATGATTTTTGATAAAGGCTTTAAAATAAAAATTTGAAAAATACTGCTTGAAGAATCCATGTACAGCAGAACAAAGCTAGATTCATCTCATCTCACTCACGAAATTTCAATATGGATAAAAAAGGTGAGTGTTCCTTATTTTTAGTCTTGAACTCTAGCCATGAGGGGTACTGCCCACATTAGAGTGGGCCTACCTACCTCAAATAACCCTATCTGTAGGAATGCCCTCAAAGTCATGCCCAGAAATGTCTCAAAGGTGCTTCTGTCAAGCTGAGATTATATGGCACTAGAAAATCTGATGAGGAAAAAAATCTTTACTCAATACACTGCCAATGACCAAATGTTGAATATTTAAAGAACTAAAACTAAATACTAAAAAACTATACAGCCAATAAAAAGGCAGGAATTATATGTGTTAATCAGGGAAAATAAAATACACATTAAAACTGCTTTGACATTATATCACTCAATTCAAAATGGTTTTAAGGAAAGAAATGAAACATGCTATTGATGTGGGAAGAGAGGAACCTTTACATACTACAGTTATGGATACTGTATGATACCTTTACATACTACAGCCACTGTTATGGATAGATAGATGTCATTGTTGAAGCTCCTCAAAGAGCTAAAGCGAACCATCATGCCAAAGCTAGGCCATGGCTATGCCACTCTTGGAATGGTTTAGCTTGTGGTTTAGTTAGCTCAACACAATCTTTAGCTCAATTCTTTTTTCCTGAAAATGATTTCACTTTTCCTTATGGTTCAAAATGTATTTTGTGCGTGTGTTTATTGCATTTTTCTTTATCCATTTATCATTTGGTAGACATCGACGCTGGTTGTCTCCAAACCCAGCCTTAGAGAGTCTGTTGCAAACAGTTACTTCCTCAGCAAGAGGGACATTTCTTCACTTTTAAGTAATCCTTTTCCAGAATGAACAAAATAACTGATAGACTAAAGCAGTTCATCAGAAGTTTAAGTCAGGGGTTAGGAACTGAACCTTTTGAATAATCATTGAGCTGAGGGCAGACAAGCACAGACTATGAGACTTTTGATCAAAACTCTCAAAATCAAGTGAGTTTTGAATGGGAGGAGCAGCTTAAAATCAGACATGGATTATTGTATAATACAACTAAGACTGGGAAACTATAATGAGCACATTTGATTAGTAATGTGGTTGGTAAACATGGGCATGCCTTTCTGTAATCCCAGCAAATGGTTTTCCAATTAGTGGCCAAAATATAGGTATATTAAGTATATTAAGGTATATTAATCAACTGTGAGAAAAATGTAGGAGCCTGCTTTTAACAACAGATGTGTTTAACTACACAGCAGTAACATGGAGCAGTAGTGAAGAAGAATTTTGAACTACAAAATATATTACTTAAATGAAAATCAATCTCAAATTCTACAAAACTTTTACTAAAGGAGCAGCTACACTGATAAGGAGTTTCCAACTATGATACAAAAAACTAGAACAAAATTAACCCTGAGTGCAGACACCTAGATTTACCAGAAATGGCTGGACAGTGGACACAGTATAGCTTATTTAGCATTCACTGTCCTGACTTTGAAATAAGCATGAGAACCCCCCCCCACACCTTATCAATATACAAGTTCAAGTGCTCCTTGAGACAAAACTATACCCCTGGAGAATGGAAAGGGCCTAACTCCACTTACTCTTCATTGTGGGCACAGCGACGGTTGGTGTGTGCGCCATGTTTGCTCAGAGTGTCTTTAAGGTCTGAATAGAGTTGGGAAGCCAGAGCCTGTGGGATCCCTTCCCACAACATGATGAGAATCACAATCACTGCGGTCTCACAGCTGTGGCCAGCTCGCTCTCGTACCAAACACAGTAGTTTCTCCTCAACACTCTCTCTTCGAATCACCTGTATAGATCAGCAGCATGCCCAAACAGCGCCCAAAACAGAACAAGGGTCAGTTGGAGCCAGTAAGAGTATCCACCTGTGTGTAAATACTTTTTCTTGTCTGCCTGCAATTTGTCTTATTGCCCAGATATACAGAAATCAATGGTTAGCAGACCATGCCTGGTATAGGGGCATAGTTAGATGCTACCTCTTGGAGCAAAACTACAGAAGACATGTAAGGTCTTGGCCGAAGGGGCACCATAAACATTAACCTGGGATCCAAGGATTAAGGACTGTGTCTTTACAAGTGGTCCTCAATCTTTCTAAAGCAGCAACCCTTTCATGAAGTTCATGTTGTCATGACTCAACCAGAAAATTATTTTCATTGCTACTTCATAACTGTAATTTTGATAGTTTAGGTTTTCCAATGGTGTTAGGTGATCCCTGTGAAAAGTGGGTCTGAGGTCAGACCTAAAGGTTGGGGGCCACTGCTTTGAATTATATTAAATATCATTTTGATGGCCTGTTCATAGTATTAGAACTACTCTACCTTAGAATACATGATGACACATAGGGTGTGTTCCTTCAAACTGCCAATGCTCTTTGACCTAGGCAAGCTAATTCTTGAGCTTAGATGAGTGAATAAAAATCAAAGAACAAGACAAGTCACACTTACCCATTTAGCAATAGGACATCCCTGAGAACTTTTGCCTTCTTTACCAGTATAGATGACTCTTTCAATCCTAATAGCTTTACCCTTCTGTCCAAACCTTAAAGAAACACACACCCAATTAATAGATGACCTCAAGAAGCAAAGTATTTAAGTGTAATTCTGCTCTACAGCAACACCCTAAGACTTTAAGGGTGTATTTTTTTTTTTTAAATTGGTCTGAGCCAAGCCTTAAATCTTTTCTTCAGCATCCAAATATACCAAATTGTAATGAATTTGTCTATTTGGGTGAGAAATACCAAGTGCAAAATAAGTTTGCTAAATATAATTTTTGAAACCATATACTAGTGGATTTTCATCCATCACTAAAATTTCTTACAACTTGGAGAATTGCATGGTTTTAGATAGAAATCTTGTGTTTCTATCTAAATCTTGTGTTTCGGGCAACTCTAGAAGTAAATTGTATTCCCCATAGGTCAAAGTGCTGTGTACTGTTAACATAAGTGCCTAGAGAAATTGACTACTTCCGTCAGGGTGTTATGGGGTGGGGGTGGGCCACATTATGGATTCTATAATTAGTGGTGTATGATTTGAAAATAAACAGCACTGTGTGCGCTGGCCATACATATGCAAACACCTTTTAACTTGGCTATTTCTTAATAGCATCACAGACGCCCTTGCTCAGGGCACTATATATAGGAAAGACCTCCAACATACAGGAATTAAAGACTGACAGTTTGAATAGTAAATGGAGTCTTAGTCAAACTTTCACACTTGCTTTCTTTTGTAAGAGAAACAAAGCTAAGAATTTAACTCAATGATCCTTACTCATAGCTTTTCCCTTATTTCTTTGATACCAATAGGAAGCCATGTGAGGCCCCTGTTTGCAGCCTGTGCCAGCACTCTTGTGCCTAGCAGGTTGGCTGGATGATTTGCTTGTGCCTGGGTTTTCTAGCATCTATCTCCAAGGGGGCAGCCTGTGCCAGCTAAGGACTATTTGTCGTGTCAAATATTGTGACTCTCTAGTGAATAGCAGTGTATTGGGTTGGCAACCCTGGAATAGCTAAGCCTGATAATTACTTGATTTACACTTGTTTACCGCTCTGTGTGAGGGGAATGGAAAAAACTGCTGTATACAAAGAAGCATTAATCTGCCCTGTGCCTTTGAGTTAATTACCTTTCTTCCATGATTGTTCTAATAGCTGCCACATTAGGACCAGCTCCTAGTTGGGTATAAAAAGGACCTTCATCTTTTTCAATAATTTGTTCTGTTGAGATAATAGAAGATTATTATTTTAGACCTCAATTATACTAAAAATTAAGGCTACATCCACAAAGATTATTCCCCAGCTGCACATTAATGGCCCTAAGTAACTTTAACTTATTTCTTTATAAATTTAAACAACATTGGTGGGTTGATCCACTAGAAAATGTGCCAAGTAATATGGCTCCTGGAAAATTATCACTACATTTCAGATACAGTATAACATCAAGTATGTAGAATCAAACAAAAATAAGAAATTAAAATATGAAATAAACTACAATGCATTTTTTTAAACAGAAAAAAGTAACAAAAAATAAACCTGTTCCTATTCCACTTGCTAGGTCCAGTTACTCTGCCCCTACTTCCCACAGCATTCGATCAGCTATTTTCTCCACACATTAGAGCCAACCAATGAGAGCGTCCTGAGGGACACTTGCATTTTATACCGTTAGCCCTGTGAGGCGACTTAATAGCCACACAAAGTGGTAGAAGAGGACCCTCCAACCCACCAAGCGTGTGCCACAGTACAGGGAGCACAGCGTGGGACAGTGAGGTCCTGTGCTCTTCCTTCTACTCTCTTAGGCTGAATCTGTACGAACCAGATACTGTATCTTCTAGCTGCACACCTATCACATAACAAACCTTAACATTTAAAGATATCATCTTTATCAAAAACTTAAAAAACCACAAGCAGAAAAAGGAGCCTTTCTAAGTGCTTTCAATCTCAGGGCTAACTTGTCAAGATGAAAGACAGTAACTTCCAACACCCAGAAGTCTATCTAATATTTAACCACAAACTCTAAACATGTTCCAATGACACTGCTCTGTTTCAAAAAGCTACATGAGCTTGAAGTTATTTTTTTTATGTTAATAGATCTTCCTGGCTGTATACCTTATCCGAGAGGAAGAGTTAAAACAGATCCAGGCTGGCATGGTCATACATGCCTTTATTCACAGGACTAGGGAGGTAGAGGCAGAGTCCAAGACAGCAAGGGCTAGAGACCCTGTCTCAAAAATGAAAACGGAAAGGAACTAGGGCCAGGAGAGAGGACTCTTCCAGATGTCAGGAGTTCAATCCCCAGCACCTGCAGTTGTAACTCACAACTTGAGCCCCGTGGGATTCGATGCCCTCTTCTGGTGTGCAGACAAAAGTCTGCAACATACATAAACAACTCTTTGATCAAATGATCAAGACAAATGATCTAAAATAAATTATGAAATATAAAATTATATTTTAAGATCTAGAGGGGAAAGTGAACATATGCATCAGTGGAGAGTTTGAGTGGAGGGGGCGCCCCAAGATATAGCTGATGCTGGCAAACACCATCCACTGTGTTACTGGCACTTACCTACACATCTGCATGACGGGAAATCATACTGAGTCTTGGCAGGAGCATCCAATAAATTTCTTATAGGAGCATCTAGCAATTTGGAAGGTGATTCTAAAAAACCAAGAACAGATCCAGTTGTTCTTTTGGTTGGCGTTTTTTCTGAAAGAGCCGCTTGTGGCTCTGCTGTGGGGGTGGGGTTCTCTGATCCTGCAGGGTGGTTGTCGGTAGACAAGGTTGTGCCTGGGCCCAGTGTCTCCACTTTCACTTGTTTCTGTGACTTGAGGAGGTTCAGGGACTTATGGTCAAAGAGTGACTTGGGCTGGAACTGCTTTAGGTGCTGCTCCATGGTCTCGATGATGCTCTTTGGCTGCCCATCACAGCTTAGTGGGGTCATCTCTTGCTTTATCCTTTTGGACATTTTTTCTTGTGATGCAAGAAACACTGGGCGTTTACAGGAGGAGGAGGAGGGTTTGGATCCAGGCTCAGTCTTGATGGGCCTATGAATCTGATTCTGACCAGATTCAGCCTGGGATTGTTGTGCTTGCTGTTCTTGCTTCTGTAAGAGGAGCCACCTTAGGGCGGCATGCTTCTGAGTATCCTTCTGAGGAGGGGTCTGCATGGGAGTCCCTCCTTGCTCAGGCACAGGGAGTGCCTTTGCTTGGTTATGCACCGGGTACCTCTGCTGAGCAGCTTCGCCTAGAGGTGCGGCCTGCAGTCCAGAGGACGCATCCTGGCTTCTGCCTTTAAATCCCTGCAGAGCTAGAGCTTGTGGAGGCTTCTGCTCTTGTTCTGCTCTTGAAAAGCACCTGTGATGAATGTCCTCACTTGGGGTCACATTATTTGGAACATATTGCATGTTTGGGCTATTATTTCCTGCAAAGAGCTCAGGATGCAGAGTTTGTTCTTGATTCTTGTGAGCCGGGTATGTGTCATTTGAACAGGGAATCTGTGGTCTGCCTGCATTTGAGGGTAAGGTCTTCAAATAAGGAGAATTTCTACTACTTACATTCTGTACTTGCTCCATTCCCCCTTGGGTCTTCTGAGTTTGGAAATTACTTGATTTTGAATACTGATTTCCACCACTAAAGCTTTCTTCCACTTTAATCAGACCAAAGCATGGTCCTTCTCTTTGCTTATCATTGCTGCTTTGGAGATGAGAAAAAGTATGGGGCCTTTGCTCTTTATTCTTCTTCTGTAATTGCTGCTGCTGCTGGCAGTTTTGAGGAAAATTTGAATTCTGGGATGCTTGTGTTTGTGCTGCTTGCTTATGAGGCATGTGTTGTAAAAAGCTTGGAAACGGTTCAGTTTCCGTGGCCTGTTGACAAACGTGTTTATCAGTGGAGGGATCCACTCTTTGCTGGAAATGAAACCGAGAAGCACTGGGTGCCTGGATGTGAGTTTCAGGTAAGGGGTCTGTCTTGGAGATGCACTCCTGGTACAAGGTTTTTTGGAACTGTCGATGTTGGTCCCCCATACCTGAAGAGGGTCCTTGATTCATCTCCACTTGGTACATTTGTGGCTTCTGCCCCGGCTGAGCTGTTTGATGGATGTAAGGTAACCTTTGGAATCCTTTCGGCATGTTTAAATTTCCAGTGCACTGTTGGGAGGTCATCGGGTTGGAAGGGCTGGCCTGATAGCGAAGGGCTGGGTGCGGCAATGCGTCCTTGCATCTTTTGGTCTGGTGGTGTGCTTCTTGAAAATTAGGGGCCTTCAGTTCAATCCATCCAGCTTGGAGATAGCGCTGCGCTGCCAGCATAGCCTCTTGCGTTTGTTCCCCGTTTTCACTCTTCAGAATCTCTTGCTCCCTGTGCTTCATCAGATGCTGGTTGTGTTCTTGTAAGTCTCTCCTGCGGCCATGATTTGGTGGGCAATACTTGAGATATTCTGACGTTTTTGATTTTTCTGTGCACACTGGGACATAATCATTTCGATGCCCTTCGGGAAGCATGTGGGGGGAATTGGATGTATGTGCAGATGGATTTGAACTCTGGCAAGATGATGCCTTCGGTTGATGTTCTGTTTTCCCTTCCCTTAAAAGAGCTGGGTTACTTTGGTTGGGGTAGTGATGGTGTTCTTCCAAAACCCCATCATTCTGAGTGCCTTTTCCTTCTGAAGGAAGCTGAAGGGCAGGAGGGAGAGCAAGAAGCAACTGTGATGCTGGGGTCATGGCGGTGGCGGAAATGGACTCTTTAGTCAACACTGAGCTTTGCCTGAAGTAAGCACCATTGATTTCCTTTCGCGTTGAATACTGTTCAGAGCTGCCATGAGAAGCTTCCGAGTCACTGCTGGAACTAGAACAGAATTCTTTAGCAAATAGCTTCGTGTTTCCTTGGATGTTTTTGTTTTCTGCAGGAGATGGGCATATCTCCAAAACTGATTTTTGTTGGTGTTCTGGTGGTTTCTGGAAGGGGCAGGTACCTAGCCCTCCAGTTGCTTTACTGACAATATCAGCATCACAGGCCTCAGCCACCATTGCAGCTGGCTCTGGAGGCAGCTGGGAACTTGAGGTCTGTGAGGAATTGATCTGCTCTGAGGTATGCGATGGTTGAGTGATCTCACAAGACAACTCATTAATAGCCCAATTGTTAAGGGCATCCACGTGAGGTGTGGTGTTCTGCGCTGCACTGGAAACACAATCTGGATAACACTGAGATGGTGTTTTTTCCAGGATTTCACCACGTGTGTTTTCCACATTAAGGGCAGAAACTGTAGCACCATTAGACATTAGCACAGCATTGTTTTTAAGTAATGTAATGTTCCTGCCATTTTCCCCTTCTTGCTCCCTGGGAACCCTAAACTCTGTGTTTTCTACTCCGTTGCAGTTCTGTGCTGGGAAACCATTGACATCTGCAACTGCTCTTTCCTGGGCTGTAGAGGTCACAGGTTCTCTGTCACTCTCAGAGACATTTGGCTGACTGCTGCTTTCACCTGGGTTTCTTTCTTGGCTTTCCCCGAAGCTATTACTTTCTCCCTTAGCATTTTGGTCTAGTCTCAATTTCTTGTTCAGATGGAGCTCAGAGAGAGACGGTTCACTGGCAGTGCGTTTTATTCCTCCATTCTGCAAGCACCTGGAATACCCTTCAGGTATGATATCTGGACTCTCATGACTGCTCTTGCTACCTTTCATGTGGGGTATTCCATAATAACTTTGGAAAGACTGCCCCTCAGTGTCCCTGTTCAATTCTTGATGAGGTCTCTCAACTAACGGGCTTCCATTCTGGAGTTTTACAGCCAGAGGTTCTGTCTGGCAGATGGGAGAAGGTGATGGTGTCAGGAATGGACTCAGTCTGTTGCCCTCAGCATGGGTGGTTCTGTCCTGTTCCATCAGGCTTGCTTCGGGGCCATCCATGAGGCTGCCCTGTGAATAAATCCTAAAGACACAGAAACATATAGTAACATCAATACCTCCATATAGCAATTAGATATCATTATCTTTTAGCTGACACCTACTCTTGTCCTCCCAGCATGGAAAAAAGGAACAACAGCATCCCAACTTCTATACCAGTCAGTGGAGAAAAATCTGTCATTCTGTTTTCTGTGTATTTTGAATCATTTCCATTAACACTGCACTTAGTTCTATCTTGTCTCATAATACCCTATACCAGCCTTTGAAACTGGATCCCTCCTCAAGTTCAAGGCTACCTCATTTGTCATCAAAAGATCAAAAATGGTGTTCTAAAATCTAATTTTGGTATCTTTCCCTCCTTATCATAATTTATTGGCTCTACCAGGCCTGTGCCAATGGTTTTCCAACTCTTATATTTAATAGGGACATCACATTTCATTTTAGTGCTATCAGTATAATGTGGTGATATGGCTAAGAACTTAAGTCATTGCAAGGTGATATGTGCAGCATGCAGGAAACTCTCCACAGATTCTCTGTATTCTGCTTGAAACACACAAACACACATACCTCCAGCCATATCACTTCTAGGTAATTTTTCAACAAGGAGCGGATGCCTTTCATAAGGATTTCCTGCCAGTGAGATCGGTTGGCAGTCCCCAAAGCTGATGAGTTCTTTTTCTGCCACCCAGGAGAAACTCCCAGAAATGGTCCCATGATGCCTACACACCTTTCTTGACATCTTTGTACATATATGCATTTTCCTTATACCTTCAATTCCAACATAGGTAGGAGGATCTGAGTTCAAGGCCACCTTGGTCTACATAGTGAGTTCCAGGCCCACAAGGGCATATAGTGAGACCCTGCCTCAAAGATAATAACACTGGGTGTGCTGATCAATGAAGAGAACCAAATGAAATGCTGGCAGTTTCTAAAGGGCATTCATAGCTTCAAAAAACACCAAGTAATCAGAACTTTTACAGCAATAAATCTTGCAGCTATAACAGAAGGTAAACTCAAAAGTTCTATGTGCAGTAAAAGTGCTGGAGGCAAGAAGACTGAAAGGAAGGGAGATGTTCTGAAAAAGGATTGTCTGGCCTGGTTGGGGAGCAGTTTCATTCTAATAAGACACATGATGATGAACTTTACATGGCTCCTAAACTTTTGCTACAAAGAGAATCCCTCAACTTGCTTAACACAACAAACTGATGGAAAAGCAACTGAAGAATAGCAATGGGAAGGATATTGCTTTTAATTGCCTTTACTTTTAATTACTTAATAAAATTTAAATAGAAAAGTCTTCTCACTAGACAAAAGTTTTCTAAGTGGTTTACCCCTTTCAACAAATACATGGTCACACCCAACAACAAACACGCTTCAAATACAGGGAGTCTCCACTGAAATGTGCCAAAAGGAGAAAAAGAACCACTGAATATCAATATTTATAAATAATCAAATGTGGTGGAGTGCTTACCTGGGATATACAGAGCCCCAGCTTCAGTCCCCAGCACTGCATTAACCAAGGCAGTTAACACTGGGTTGAAGGGAGTTAACACACTTAGGAAAAAGATGGGGGCAGAACAATTGGGAAGGTCAAGGCTGTCTTCAGCTACATACTGGCCTCAAAACCAACCTGTCTCAAATGACTGTGATACATTATACTGGATGACATTAAATAAAAACATTTAATTTTACCTTTTTGTGAAATTTAAAATTGCATGTCATGTTCCTTTAAGGCACTGTGAGAGAAGGAAGGGGAGGGAGGAGAAGGGAAAGGAAAATGCACTGTTTTAGCAATTGTACAATCAGTCCACACATACAGGAATTAAATGTTATTTACAGCTACACACATTACTGATGTTAAAAGAATGTGAAGGCTCTGTTTAGAATGCTGTCCTGTGTAACTGAAATATTAAATACATTCAGGACCTAGCTCTTTTAGGATCCACTCCACATAGTGACATTCTTTAAAGTGCCAACAAAAGAGGCAGACACAGGTGGATCTGTGAGTTCGAGGCTAGCCTGATCTACAGAGTGAATTCCAGGACAGCCACGGCTAAACCAGAGAAATCCTGTCTCAAAAAAAATCTCTATATATCAAATATATATAATATATTTATATATACAATCCCAGCACCAGAGAGGCAGAAACCCTGGTCTACAAACAAAAAACAATTCCTTAAGTATAGCAGCTCTATAGAAAATAGGAAACAAAATGAAGTTTATTAATAGAGATTTTAAAAAACACCAATTTAAACAGAAGTATTCTGTGGAAGGAATTCAAGCCAGTGGATGTGGGAAGTGATGGCTGACCTTTCTAAAGGAAAGTCAGGGAGCTTAAACACTGGTCCCTGTGGCTACTTGTTACATTCCAGAGAATAAAAGGAAATAATGCCTCTGGCTTTAGTATGTTCTAAGCCACTTTTTGTATGACTGTTATAGAATATTGTGCCTATTTGAACAGTACTTTCAATTATGTCGGTTTTGGCATTATTTCTAGTAGAGATAAGAGCTTCAATGCCAAAGGTGTCATAGGCTCATGGAGTTTGTTTTGGTTTTTTTCTTTTAAGCTAACACAAAGTCAGTTTAAGATAGAATCTTCAGGCTGCATATTTCCCTAATTATCAGTTAAGATATTGGGTTATTTTTCAAATTTAAATGACTATAAAACAAGAAGCCCATTTTCAAATAACTACAAACTTCTGGTAGAGTTATTTTTGCATGTTTTTTCCCCCAAACTCCACTTCCTTTTGCTAATAGCATAGGGTTGGGCAGGTTAGAGAGGCTTATTTTGGCTCTTCATTCTGAAGTGGGAACAGCCTTCCTGTGTTCATGTCTGGAGGTGGTACAAGCCATGATGGCAAAGAGACAAAGTATGTGTACTCTCTCCCTCCTCTTTATAAAGCCCTCAGCCCAAAAGACCTAGGTTGTACCCCTAAATCTCAGGAGAAAAAAAAAAAAAAAACTCCTGTAAGCTGTCATTTGATCCCCATACTCATGTCATGGAGATCTCACACCATGATCCCAACTTCAAGTATCTTTGAACACCCTTTCACTAAGGATTAAAAGAATCAGAGCATTCTTTCCCAGTTGAACATAACAGAAATAGACTATTATTCTTATCTGCTTAGAAGTGAATGACCAGCAATATTTAATGAGATTAGACACTTCTAAAGTAATACAATTACTGGAGATTTATGGATGGTATTTGTTTATGCCTGTCATTGTTTGCTACATGAAGAATGTCATTTAGAAGCAATGTCATCACCATCATCATAATTACTATTAGTTTAGAAATCAAATAAATGCTAGTTCCCTGAGCCCAGCACGTTTGGATAGCCATTCTGGCTTTCAGAATTGTGCTAACTGCTCAGAAACATGGAATGACATTTCACCTAGTTTCACTTTTTTAAAGACTGCAAGGCAAGTGGTGGTAGGAACTAATGATGTGTGAAGCATTCCAGAGTGTCAGAAAGGACTTCATTGTTTGCCGATTTTATATGTGTGTATACTGAGAAACTGGTTTGAATGTATGTATGGAAAAAAGTAGCTATAGTTGGGAACATGCAGCTCTCTCTGAATGATCTTTCACATTACATAAGGAAAATGTATGACCTTAAATTCATATTTTTCCCTGTTTGCAGGCTTAGTATTAATACTCTGAAAGGCAGGTTGCTAAGTCTATCGACCTGTGGTTATTAATAATGGTATCAACTCATCTTTGACCGGATCCTCATTTCTTTATGTGGCTTGTAATAAGTAAAATGTAAACACTCAGAATATGAAGTGAAGTTTCTGTAGAGTTATTTTACCTGACGCCTTGTTGAACTTAAGATCCCCATGCCTCACTATGGTTGCCAGGGTTACAGACGTGCACCATGATAGTGGCTGCTACCACAACTGCATGAACATATACAAGCTTGGGCATAAAAGTTCATAAATTATTTATGGACTGGAGAGATGGCTCAGTGCTGCTTCCAGAGGACCCACATGGCAGCATATAACTGTCTATAAAGTCAAGCCCCAATGGACCCAACTCCCTCACACAGACATGCATGCATGCAGGTCAAATACTAATGCACATTAAATATATTCTCTTAAATGACATGATACTTACATCATGAGAACTGTCATAATTTAGACCCCACTATCCATATTTTTATATTTTACCCTTTTATTTGAGTAGTCTAATATTCCTTGCAATGCCTGGCTGTCTGACGAACTAACAGTACTGGTTATATCAGCTGTAAATGCATCCCTCTTTGTTGTTGGAAAGTTTAAGGGTAGAATTAGAGTAATTCAACATAAATAGAAATAAATGTGCAATCATTTTATGGCCAATCCATGATATCAGCTAATGACACAGAATAAGCATTGCTGACTGTGCTAGAAACACATTCTGGGCATGGTGGCACACACCTTTAATCCTGGCATTCAATAGGCAGAGAGGTAGGCAAATCTGATTTTCAGGACAGCCAAACCTATACAGAGACTCTGCATCAGAACCAAAAAACAAAATATCTCTACTGAAAACACTGCTTTTTTCTGGTAGCTAGCATTTCAGTTTCCTTAAGACAAGGCAGGTTTTAGCCAGTTTTCCTATGAGTTTAATCTTGTGCTTTCTCCTGCCTGTGACAATAATTAATTATAAATTCAAGTCACATCGACAGCATCTGTGAAACAATTACTGCACGGAGGGCTGACTCTGCAGTCCAATCCATCATAATTATGACAGTCCTCTTTCAAGACACTATGATGCATGACTTAAAAACAGCACATTAGTGTGCAAATGGATCAGCATCTCATTCCACCAATGTGCATTTAGCGTTGTAATGTAGCTCAGCACCATTTGACTCTTTCTGAATCACTCAGATGGCAGCCATTTCTCACCATAGAAAACTGTAGATGATGCTCAAAATTTGGAGGGGTTGTTTTCTTTTCTGGATTACTGGGTTTGTAGGTGGTAAGTCTTTTCCAGCTCTAAAAGTAAAAATGTACTTATACAATAAGGCAGCATTTTTTTCTATA